AAAAAAAAAAAAAAAAAGGTGAATACAAATTGTAAATGGACTTGCTCATTGACTTAATAGGATGCTCAATGACTTGTTCTTGGTTGCCTGAATCCTGTGATGCGATATCTGTGGGGTAGTGAGTTAAAAGTTTGTATATGATTATGAATTGCATGGAGCTTGCTTATTGACTCAGTAGTGTGCTCAATAACTTGCTTTAAATCCTTAGATTGTGATGCACCATATTTGAGGTTGCATATGACCACGTGTTGCGTGAAGACCTGCTCATTGACTCAGTGGGATGCTCAATGACTTGCTCCGAACCTTCTTAATTGTCGTGTGTCATATCAAGGTGGAGGCGGTGTGAGGACTTGCTTATTGACTCAATAGAGTACTCGATGACTGGCTCCTAGCCTTCTGTATTAGGCACGCATTGCTCTTTTACTGATTAATTTAAGAGGTTTAGATTACCTTATAGCTGTAGCCAGTCTGCGATTCTCTGGCAAACCTTCGTTTTATACAGTTGAGAAGGTTTTACACTTATATGACAGTAATGTATAAAGAATAAATGTGCAATAAAGATGGGCACAAACGGAGAAACACAGCACACTTCCCGTATGTGTTTCCTAATTACAATATATGAAGTATAGATCCGAGTGAGAATAATGTTTTCTCAATGTAAAATTTCTAGATTGATTGTTTTCAGAAATTGCTGGGTATGTTACGACCAGGGAGAGACTTTATATCAATACAGCCAATTTAACTGAGGGTCGTAAGCATTAAAATAGGGAAGCCAAGTATTTATTAACTATTGTAAGTATACTTACCGGCCAAACCCGGACAAATCCCAAACCCCAAAAAACAAATTGCTTTTATAAAAAATTAAATCATAAAAAATAATTTTAACATTTTGTAAATATATTAGGCCATGCAAAGTTGATTTTTCGTTTAGCATTACCCGCCGACCCAAATTTTTCAAAATCCCTATTTTTTTTTTTTTTTTTTTTGGAGTTTCAATTACGCTAATTATTCCATTTTTGCTGTTTATTTTTTTCATCTTTTTTATCCGGTGTTTACCGACGGTGACCTTAATTTTTTTCCGGAATTATCCGATAGGACACCAAGCGAAAACAATACTTTGAGCCTTTAAATTTATAAATTTACTGAACGAAGACATGTCTGCAACAAATAAAATCGTAAGCCGAGGCCTAGTTTTCCTTTGGTAACGTTCAAATTAAAAAAAAAAAATTTTGTAAAAAAAAAAATAAAATAAAAATCCGACCGACCGACCCAATTTTCAGATTCCATGTAATGCAAAACGAAAAATTAACTTTGCGTGGCCTTATATATAACTATAAGATTTTATATCATTTGTTTAAATAAAGATTATTAACAAAATTTTTGAGATGATTGAGTTTGGGATTTGGGCGCGGACAAACCCAAACTATAATAGTTTGGGATTTGGGCGGCAAGTATACTTGTAAGGCACTAAAAGTAATATCTCTAAACGACCAATCAACCTACTAATTTCCCAACTGACTAAAAACTAATAACCTCCCAAAAGTCTCAAAAACTAATTAACCAGTGTTATATAACCCTCTATTTATATTGTCTATTAGACTCTAATTAGCTATTATGCAAAATGTAAAGTACAAGTCACTCTCGTTATAGTGAAGTGATCCGTTCCATTAATAAAAATTTTTTAAAAATTCATTATATCGAGAGTTTTATTAGTAAATTCATATAAACTGGCTTCGAGCCTAACTTCACTATATCGAGATTTTAATTAGTCTTCACTATATCGAAAGTTCACTATAACGAGAGTGACTTGTATAAGCTAATAAAATGTCGTAATGTTCGACAAAATATAATATCGTAATTACTTCGATCGATACTTAATTACAGGATAAGCTATTATAATGTTACACAAGCAAAAGTATAATTGTTACTCTGTAACGTTATTTTTCGTAACAGTAACCTATGGTTCACCTGTCGGTTAACCGAGTTGCGTTTTTTGATCGGGTACAATCACATTCTCTGAAATTAAAAAAGCTAATTAGAATGTTCATTACGTTTTTGGGATTTCAATAAATCTTGTAAGTATAAACGAATTAATAATAATGGTGAGTTTTTAAATAATGCTTATTTAATTTGCCACTGCGTTTAAGCTTCAAAGGTGATATGATATGAAATTATAACCTCAATTGTCTTACTGTATATTTGACTATGTGATGTTTTTTCTACAATATTTTTCATAAATAATTACATTATTTATATAAGAAATATCCAAGAAAAAAATTTGCATGATCATATAAAATGTTGAATAAATTGCATATATATTTTTAGAATTTAAATACAAATAACTCATGGTTAGAGTTCTGCAAATTCCCGTGCCCGGCACATTGGGTAGGGCTGTTAAGTGGTCCGACTCAAACCGATGGACCGCCAGTACGTCCTAGGACCGGGCCGGTCCTGTCTTTTATGGGACGGACTGAAAAGACCGTTGGTCCTATTACTACTACTGTATCACTTATTATTAAATCAATTTTTATAGATAAATTATAGATAAATTATAAATAAAATATAATCTGATTCTGCGATTTTTGCGAAATTTAATCTGGCATATTATATTTAGATGAAATATCTTATTATTGTCGTGAGAAAACTTTGAGTTGATATAAAGTCATAGGCTAAGCAGTGAATGGCCACATGTTCGGTGCTTACGTCTTTTATAGGACGAATCAAAAGATTATCAGCCCTAATATAGCTAGCATTAAATTATTGTAACGAACATATATTGCCTAATTTTTTGTGATTTTGATGGGTTTAGATTATAAGCGCTATTATAAACATACAAATATGATGTTAATGTTTAGAAACATAGACAACGATATAATGACAGGTTTTTTTTTAAGAAATAGATAGATAAATCTAATATTTTTAATTAAATGATACAGTACAAGGTTCATTAAAAATATGCCTACAAAAATCTTGTACATGATTCTCAAAATTTAGCGCATAGCTATCACTAGCTCTAATAATAATAGATAGGCTTAAATATTTGTTTAGAGGTATCTTTTATGTAATAAAACGAGTAATAAACTAATAATTTGATAATAATAACGAGTAACAATACATAATAATTAATATGTTGGTGCAGCTTATATGACATTTATCGTGCTTTTGATCAGCAGATGATCATCCAATTAAACCTAGGTGCCGCACAAAAAATGCGCGGTTAATCCTTGATTTTGATTGGCCAACAACGACGATCAACAATTTAGGCCAAAATTACTCAAAATTTTACTAATGAAATCGCGGCCGCCCATTAAGTGAAAAATGTTCCTGGGCTAATTTTACCATTGTGCGGGCCTACTTCTCTAAAAATTTCCATTTTAGGAATGAAAAAGTTAAAAAGTTAATTCCGGCCAAAATTATGTAATGCGGGCCCAATCCGCGCATTTTTTGTGCGGCAGCTAGGTTTAATTGATCATCCATCACACAGAAATCCGTAAAATTCCATCAAATTCATTATTTTTTAAAAAATTTCCATATAAAAAGTTAGAATTCCAGATTCTCTTGTATATCATCCATTCGTGTACTATATCTTGAAGTGGTCGGATCAAAATTTTTTAGCTTTCTTTACTAAATTTTCTCAAACTTAAGTGAATCTATCTTGATAATAGCTGGTCGTTTTCGATATTCAAAGCCATTTTCAAATTCTGAAGGCTTGTAGGATTCGAAAATGGTCTTAAACATTGAAATTGACTGGGCTATTGTTGGGAAATCTTCAATCAAACTTTTAAAAATATTTAATATTAGAATCTTATCCAAAATTAAAAGAATGATATAAGTCATGACAAAAGAGTATATAAAACCAGTTCCTGATGAGGCTAATTGCTTTAACAGTTGAATGTAATTATTATTTATAAAACCTCCCATAATCTCTTCACCGCTAAGTGCTGCAATATTTTTATCTGCAAATATACCAGTAAGAACATTCCCAACCAATCCACCAATACCATGAATGGCAAAAACATCTAAAGCATCATCGTAATCAAATGTATGTTTCAATTTAATTGCTAAATTACAAATGGCTCCACCACATATACCAAAAACAATAGCGAAATGAGGTGCAATATAACCGGATCCCGGTGTTACTGCAACTAAACCAGCGACAACTCCTGAACAGAATTCAATTGCTGATAGCTTATGCTCGATTCGGTAACTTATAATCATCCATGTAAGTCCACCTGATGATGCGGCCAAATTAGTCACAGTACATGCAAGAATGGCACGCATCTGCGATAAAAAATATATATGAACGTCAATTTTATTTGATATTTTTAATTAAAATAATAATTAATCTAGAACTTTAAAATGGCCTTACATTTGCTGCTTCTGCAGAACCACCATTAAAACCGAACCACCCGAACCAGAGAAATGCTGTACCAAGAACTACGTAAGTTGCATTATGTGGCTTAAATTCATCTGCTCCATGACCATATCGTTTTCCAAGAAAAATACAATATGCTAGAGCTGCTGAACCAGCCGTAATATGCACTGGAGTACCCCCTAAAATAATAATAATAATAAAGATATAAATATATATTTACTAATTTTAAAAATTGGGATGTATTTATATTTTAATTTACCAGCAAAATCGAGACCACCAAGTTGGGAATACCAGCCATTAGCAGACCAACACCATGAAGCGATGAAATCATATACAAATGTGGTCCATATAAAAATGAATATGAGGGTAGGAATCACTCTTATACGTTCTGCTGCTGACCCAATAACGATGGCAGGAGTAACGGATGCAAACATACCCTGGAAAATTGCAAATACAAGTTCTGGAATATGCCATGACGTTCGTGTTGGTCCGACATTAGATAATACGTTTATAAAAAAAGAATTTTGAAAATTTCCAATAAAAGGTCCACCTATAAAAATAATTTAGTTTCGTAAATGTGCAATTGGATAAGGCTGCAATTTATTTGAATAACAAGCTGAATAAACACACTACAACCAACCGTTTCTATTGAATGTTAGACTATAACCACATATAAACCACTAAAAAAAAAAAATGATTTAAAAAATTTTTGAAAACAAATCATGTCATTCGACGTCCCCAGATAATTGGCATCTAGGGTTGTATAAAAAAAATTTTTTTGAAGACTAAATTCCATAGTATATAAAATAACTACCTGAATTGATACTACAGGAGTAGCTAACAAACATAACATTATTAAAGATAAAGCATTCTTATGGCGTGCCAACCCGCTGTAAAAGAATCCTAGTCCTGGAATCATCAACCAAACAAGACATGTCGAAGCCAGAACCCATGCAATATCACCAGGATAGAATTTAGATTCGACGAGACTCGGTATATGTTCTGTAGAATTTGTTGAGTTCATGTTTATGTTAAACATATATATATTGATTGTCATATGTAAGATACATATGTATTGGTCAGGTATATGTCACACAAATTGTTCTCTATAAAATTTTCGAATGCTTGCTACATTACATGATAAATGAACTTAATATTTCCTTTGTGAGGTTGATTTACCGTTACTATTACCGTAATTATTTGTAATATTCTGTATCACAACAGCCTTTTATTTATACAAAATTAAGATAAAAAAGTCTTTATTCATCATTAAATGCACGCCCTTTTCGTGCAACTAAATAAAGATAATTTATAAGATTCCTTATAACCTATGGCCTTTCTAATTGATTAAATTTTTCTGCCACTTTGGAATGAATACTAGTAAGAATTTTATTTGAAAGTTAAAAAAATAAATATTACTAACTGTAATAACGATGATTATACTAACTATAACCAAATGCTAATTATCTTCAGAATGTTATATCTCAATAACTTATTAGATAAAAAATTTTAGAGGTATTAAGTAAAAGGGATTAGAACATACAAAACCTAATTAAAATTTGAACCTTTACATATAACCCCTATCTTACTTTAAAACTGCTAAAATTAAGGGTGCAATGATTACCGTGAGCAGGGTTCTGCAACCTGAGCACGCGCCTGTGCAAAAAAAATTTAGGCACAGGCATAGGCATGAATACTTAAAAAAAACTTAGGCATGGACATAGACATGACTTTAAAATTTTGGAATAGGCATGGACACAGACACAAAGTCTGGAATGGACATAGACACTGGTACAGAAATTCGATATTTATTATTTAATTGTGCCTGGCATTGTGCCTGGCACCACTCTGGCACCTTATGTACTAGTGCCTGGCACTTTTGTACCCATACCTTTAATGTGACTGGTATTTTATGCCCTTATGTGTCTATGGGCATTGGCATGGCATAAGACACTAGTGCCCGGCCTGGTGCCAATTAGGGCTGTTAATTGGTCCGTCCGGTCCGTCTTGGTCCAAAGACTGGCAGTCGTTTAAAAAGTTAGACCGGGGACTGGACAGACTGATTATTAGACTAATTACAGTGCTTTTCAAATTACTGTGATCAGCAAAATTCATGCATCACGAGAAATCTGGAAATCAGGATTTTAGTAAAGTGCAAGCCTGTGATTGGCTGAAAATTATACCAGCCAAATGTATTGCGTATTTATGTATAAAATTCTAATATTAAATATTTTTAAAAGTTTGATTGAAGATTTCCCAACAATAGCCCAGTCAATTTCAATGTTTAAGAC